AGATGTGTATAAGAGACAGATATATATACATATGTATGTGTAAGTAATAATAAATAAATGTATATATGCATATGTATAAATATATGTATATATACACATGTAAAAACAATGAGAAGACAATGTACAATCATTGAAGGTTGATTTTACTACAAATTTACTACAATATAATAAAACAGGATTACTGCTATCTTTATTAATGTCATCAATATAAATCATGATACTGTACTCTAGCACATCTTGCACTAATGCTGGGGCCCTTTTAGTGGTGGTGCCAGCAGGGGGTGGGGGGAGCCAGGGGAATTTTCCTCCATCGGACAGGCCTGTGTACCCACTGTTGTCTGACGCCACAGCAACGTCGTCGAATGGAAAAATTTGGAAAAATACTATTTGCCTATCCAAAGGCAATTTGGACCAAACTAAGCCCTAAAATTTCTCCTGTGAACCATACCAGAGATTTGGCTTAATCCGGGACCGAGGCTCTGGCCATCCCCCTGGTTTGGAACCCCCCCCCCCCCCCCCCCCCGGCCACTTTCGAAACCTTTTAATCGAAGCTCGACCACGCCCACTTTGCTTTTGTCTGGGATATCTGATCCCTTGTCGGGGGAATTTCCCCCTGCCCGTACCCACAAACACATTGAAATAGCCTTACATCACTTACAACCGTATGGCCTATGCCACGTGGTATCGGTGGTTGTAATTAATTCCATCAAGGGCCGTCAGTCAAATAGGACCATCATATTTATATAAATGCTAATATGGAGTAATTATGAAACCACATCATCTGCTCTCACGCCTTTGTCATTCAGATTCGAAATACGGTAATTATACACAGTTAGGTCTTCTTGTACTAAAAATTAAATAAAACAATTGTTTAATTTAAAACAAACAGATGGGAATATCACGTGAGTTGAGGATTCACAGAACAGAATTAGAGAATCACTTGGGTTTGTGTAAGGGGGGTGGGGTTGACTATGATTAAATAAAGTGATGCTGTCGATTGTTATTGACTTTTGTTTCCTTCACATGCCACTTTTAATCAAATTACACTCCCAAGCAATCAGTGTTGATTGACTAGTAATATACACATTTGAATTTCTAATTAAGGAATAATGCTATT